CAATATGCATCACATCCGATTTATGCATAATAAGAAGATCATTCCAATACAGCAAATCGCATAATATTCTTTTTTAGTCCATTTAAGATGAATCAGATATCCCTCCGGATACTCAAGAGGATCATCTATGGCAAGAGGGATGGAGCGCACACAATCATAAATTTGATATCCTGTCAACCTCATATGTGGTGGATCACGCTCAGTGTGTCCCTTTAGAAATGACTTCTTATCCTTTCCATATTGATGGTTCTAAGGAAGGAATCTTCGATGACAATCAAAGTAAGATGACTTGCGACTATTCTTGAGCCAAAATGCATTTGACTTCTCCATACAAGCAGGACACCCTATCAAACATGCGGTGCTCCAGCCAGAAAGCATTCCATATGCTGGAAAATCACTAATTGTCCACATAATTGCAACTTTCAAATTAAATATTTGATTCTTGGAAACATCATATGTCAGAACACCTCGTCCTATAACTGTCTGAGCTCTTCCACTAATGGCTGCAGGTATACATCAATTCCCTTCTTTGGATTACCTGATCCTGGACACATTAATGACAAAAGCATAAAATGTTGTTTCATACACATGTCAGGAGGGAGATTATATGGTGTAATGATAATTGGCCAACATGAGAATTGTTCCCCCAATTGACCATACGGGGCAAAGCCATTATCACATAACCCGAGTCGAACATTGTGTGGCACAAAAGCAAATTGTGGATAACACCGGTCGAAAAGCTTTTACGCCTCGGAATTTGATGTGTGACACATTAACTCATCTTCAGTCTCATGTTCAACATGTCACATCATGTGTTTAGCGGTGGAATTTGAGGCATATAACCTTTGTAACCGTGGGGCTAATGGAAGATATATCAACTTAGATGAAGCAGACCTTTTGCGTGGTTTCCGATTCATAGCTGATATAGGTTTTTTATCTATCCACATTACAAAACTTACAATGGGTCAATGCCTCATCGTTCTTCCAAAATACCATGCATCCCATTGGGCAAGCTTGAATTTTAATCATGGGAAGACCTAACTCTAAGATGATTTTTTTCATGTTGTAATAAGTATCAGGTAGACAATGATCACGCGGTAACATGCTGCCAATAGAGTCTAGTATTATTGACATGTAATTCTCAGAGAGATTATATTCAACCTTTATATTCAAAAATTCAGAAACCGCTGATAACTACGAATCACCATCACAATCACAATACAAAGGTTGATCCGCGCTTTTGAGGACTTCTTGAAATCTAGTGACTAGCGCATCTACCTCATAATAAAATGAACTTGGTTCCTCATTCACATTACTGTGTGAAGTGAAATCATTATCTGGTTGGGTATTGTGAAATGTTGAAAGACCGACGAAATCATAAATCATTTTCTGCTCCCATGGCATTTCTTCATAATTTCCCCAACTAGCCATCTCGTTAGGAACAAAGTTAGATGTGCCTAAAGTTTGGCAAAATACATGTATCAACCGGTTCTCTTTGAGAAGTCCAATTGTAATAGTTATCAATAAAATCGTGCGTATATAAATCCCACTCCATGATATCAGGATCAAGAAACTTGGCATTTCCATCCATGATATCAATATAAAGTCCATTGTATCTACACTATGTACACGAACATCTTATTTTATTTCCATCCGTGTATCGTGTTTGCTTTTGTGCAAAACTAATAAATTCAACAACTCCATCGGTAAATTCTTTAGTCAATCCTCTACCATCTTATTTATATCACCTATACATCCAACTTCTACTTTCTCTATTCATTGGTCCTGAATATATAAAATAAATTAATAAATATTTATTTATTCCTATTAAAAGTACACGCTAGTAAGTAAATTTTTAAAACTTATCACACGACATTTTATTGGTATAAGACAAATAATGACAATAATTATAATTCAAGACATGAGATATGTATTGAAAGTGATTAATAAAGAAAATAAAATTACATACCTTATAGCCCGAACATAATTCTTCTGAGGAATCCAAATATAAATATTCCACGTACCAAACACATAATGAGACCACATTCCTTTGTTCCCAAAACTCATGACTTAGAATAGTTCATGTGTAGATGTATACATAAAAGAAGATGTATTTTTTGCTTAGGAATGTGCAAGGATTTGTAGTTTTATTTGGCTCGGATTTTGGCAAGGTAATTTTAATTGGATACCAAACGGTCATATTTTGGCACGGATGTTGGACCAGCTTAATCCGTTCGATTCAACCGTTTGAAAATCAGTCCTGGAATACACAACGGTAACTTGTTAGCTCGGAATTTGACACAGCTTTTGCGTAACGGTCAACTTTTGGCACGGAGTTGTCCATTTGAGCCAAAAGCGTAAAAAAATTGTATTAAAAATTGTGGCACGGAGTTGGCTCAAAACCGTTGTCACAGATTTTGGTACTGTCCAACAACTATGGGATAATCTCGATTTCGGAACAGATATATCCATTCCCGTTGAAACGGAATTAGGTTGGGAATGGTTTGGCTCGGATATATTTGAGTCAAACATTGAAAGTTCAAATCGGTGTTAGAACGGATGTAGATCCGTGCCAAAATGGAACACAAGTTGGATCAAATTGTTTAGAAGAAAAAAAATTGGTTTTTTTTCAGTTTGGGATCGTGTTTCGTTTCGGAATTTCCGAGCCAAACTCTTGAATCGGATATATCCGTGCCAACAAATATACGACCCCTTTTGTTTTTCCCGCGTCAAACGTCGAGACAAATTTGGCAGGGATTTTATCCGAGCCAAAATCCATGCAGATGCCGAGGTTTTTTAGAAGTGTTAATCATTAGATATTAAAAACAGCACACTCATAACATCAAAATTATCACCAATGACTTATTTATGTTATATACCCATCAAAACTATTTTTCAAAATACATAATCGAATTACCTTATTTAATTATTATTATATTGTCTAAACAATTGTTCCATTTTTCAATGAGAACTTTATCCCGGATCACAAGTAGTATAAGTTTAAAATAGATAACGAATCACTAAACCGAGTGAATCAGCTAAATCTGTTTAAATTGGTGAAATGCTGGCTGAAGTGGCTCACTACTACATTTTTAGACCTAATGTAACATTAGAGATGTAACATATCTATAATAGTGTTACCTATTTCTCTAATGTAACACTTTTTAGACCCAATGTAACACTTTCTAGAAGTATAAGTGTTACATTAGGTACTATAAAGTGTTAGAATATGTCAAATGCAACACCAGCAAATGTAATGGTAAAACAATGTTACATTTTCTCTGAAAAGTGTTACATTAGAGAAAATGTAACATTTTTTTACCATTACATTTGCTGGTGTTGCATTTGACCTATTGTAACACTTTATAGTACCTAATGTAACACTTATACTTCTAGAAAGTGTTACATTAGGTCTAAAAAGTGTTACATTAGAGAAATAGGTAACACTATTATAGATATGTTACATCATTAATGTTACATTAGGTCTAAAAATGTAGTAGTGGCTAATCTACTGAATTCTTAGAACAATATAAAATACTATCCTCCGTATCACATTAATCGCAACATTGGAATATATACACTATTCATGTACTTTACATTGACTACATTTTATTTATTAATGTATGTGAATTATTTTTTTGGAAAAATATTGTTAAATTCATCTCATTACGAAGTTTTATAATCTGATTTTTATTTTATTTTTACTAATACAGAATTAAATATAATGACGGTCAAAGTTGTGTGTTGACAAATGTGAAATGTTGACTGTTGCAACTAAAAAGAGACGGAGGAAGTATATTTTATTATTAATATATTAAAGTAAATAATATATGAAAGCATAGCTAAAGGGATATTCTATAGTAACTTCACTCGGTTCATCCAGAAAAGCAACTTCAACCTTACTTATTCAGATTATTACACAATTTAGTTTAATTCGAAAATCAAAAGTTACATACGTGTTGTATAAGACCGATAAGCTGAAAATAGAGGTTACCCAACGGGCTCGTAATGATTAAATTCTACCCAAAATAAGAGATGATCAAGGAAAATGAAACTAGTTTTTTATACATGATATTTTTTCTTCAAAACTACATCTAATACAAAGTGATAAGAGATATTGTAGCTAGAGTGAATATCTCTCACTGTCGGGAAATTGTCGACCTATTATAGTATCTCCTCTTGATACACAATATATTGTTTATAAATAGTTACGGAGTATATGATACTTTTCCTAATAAATACTCTAGAGATGGTAGAAACTAGAAATTATGCGTGAAAAGCCTTGCCAAAGTGGTGTTAGGGATTTCTAATAATAATAAGATTTTGAAACGGTCAACATTTCACATTTGTCGAGACATAATTTTGACCATTAATATACTAGTATATAATTACTCCCTCCGTTCCTAAAAATTCTTCCCGATTTGACTTGGCACGCTTATTAAGAAAGTAGAATAAAGTGGAAATGTATGGTTGTGGTTGTGTAAGAAAAAGGTAAAATGAATGTGAGCCACACAAATTATCCAAAATGGGAAAGTGGGAAGTATTTTTGGGAACGGCCCAAAAAGAAAAGTGGGAAGTATTTTTGGGAACGGAGGGAGTATCTATTAATAAAAAAATTAAAAAAAAAATAGATTTTGAAAATTTACAATGAGACAAATTTAACAATAATTTTTCAAAAATATATATTCATACATTAATAAATAAAACGTAGTCAAAATAGAACATGTGAATAGTGTGAAATTCAACATGTTGGATTTATTTAAGAAGGGAGGTAGTACTATCACTTAAAAGAAAATATAAGAACACGGTAAACAATTAAAATCTGTAACACAAACACTTATTATATAATCGACCAACCAAATTCATATCTTGATATCTAGGTATAATTTGTTATATTTTAATTTGTATGAAGTAGTAATCACAATAACCATCAAGTAATTATAAGAACGATGGTAGCTAGTCATTTTTATCATCTCTATGGATAAAAAAATTCAAGGATGGGAAGGTTTATGATTAACTTTATACTCAGTACTAATTATAATATGAGCTTTTTACATGAATATTACTAATTTAGAACCAATTTTTAAAAATGTGATCACTTTTATAAAAGGACAAAAATGTGACCAAGGAGGTCATATACTTGGAAAAACATAGTTCTACCAGATTTTTATGTCACTATTATTTTTTTATTTCACTTGTTTTATGTCACTTTTGAATGGTCACTGGTTTTATGTCACTTTTTAATGTCACTGCCGGTTTTCATGTTACTTTAAAATGTCACTTCCGCCGTCAAATGTGTCATTGTGTCGCCATCAAACGTGTCACTGTGTCGTTAATCATCTCCGTTCCAACCTCTAGCCACAGTGACATCTCCACCGTCAGTGTCACTATGATTGACGGAAACGTAAATTTCAACCAAATTTGGCCGCCGCACCAACAACACCGCCATTACCCGCCTCCCCAACCCCCATACCCGCCCCCTTTCCACCCCACCAGCCCCCTCCCCAGCATACCAGGCCCCCTCCCCAGCCCTCAAACCCCCCCCCCCCCCCCCCCCCCCGTCCCCAGCAATCTCCGCCCATTCCCTTCCCCAACCCTACCACAAACCCTTCAACAAACATTCCCTTCAACATCTCCTCCAAACCAACCATCTCAGTTATAAACTTCAGCAAACAATTTCAATTGCAAAATCATCTTCCTAATCCCAATTAACAAAAACCAAACCCCAGCCCATTCCTCCACCCAGCTCTCGTCTTCAGCTTAGAATGAATGCCACGAAAGCCGTGTAGAACCACTGCTTCAGCGATGGCGAACTAGAGAAGAAGGGTTCAGACCTACCACGACCCCTTATGCCAGCCCCAGCCCCCTCCCCTGCTCCCCAACGCGTGAAATTGCCGGAAAAGTGACCAATGGCCTCCGTAGCCCCCTCCAACCCCTGCAACACCCAACCGCTGCCCCACCTGTTGCCTCTGCATCCAATTGCACCTCCGCCCAGCCCTAGCCCCATCCCAACCCCCGTAACTCCAGCCCTACCCCAACCCCCGTAACTTTAGCCCCATCCAAAACCGTAACCCTAGCTCGATCCCAACCCTAACTTGCAATCCCAATCCGATGGTAAGCGAGCTGACTAGATTCGTCCTCTTTATCGATGAAATCGGACAAGGATGTCCGCAGTCAGGTAGAAGAAGAGCTATGATGTGAAGGCTATTACGGGCGAAGGTGACGAGTGAAGAATCTGATGGAGAAGATCACCCGGACATGAGCGGCAATGAGCGGCGACAAAGAGGGTTTGGGGTGCGGCAGCGACGCAGCATATCTGAGAAGCTTCGAATGATATCTGGGGTGCGGCTGCGGTGCAGATTGTTCATCTACAGAACATCGATGAAGGAGAGATCTGGGAAGTAGGTTAGGGTCAGGGTTATTTAGATGAGGGCTGTATGACGGAGAGAAAAAGCACGGCCGTGCGAAGGAGAAGGCTCTGTCTTCCTGGAGCTGCGAGTGTGTGAGGGCTGAGAGAGAAGACCGAGTCATATTTTTGGAAAGAGTAAAAGTGGTCATATTTATGTCCACTCAAACTATAGGAGTAATTTTTTTGCCATTATTTCAATTAATATTTGTTGAATAGTTACAAGATCGGTATTGTACTTCTTACAAAATTAAAGGTTATATTATGTACACAATTTTTTGATGAAAGTTCAGCTAAAAAGCCTTTTGTTAGTACAATACCAATGAAACTAACATAGGATGATAATATAGTTTACAATATATTAGGTTATATACTTGAACTTAATTTGTTTAACCTTTAATTGGTATTGTACTAGAAGTTTAATCGGTATTTATTTTGATGTACACAATATATTGGTAAGAAGTTTAATTTTTTTTATAAGATTATATACTTAAACTTATTTTTTTTAGCATCGTCTTCATTAAGTCTAGTTTACTCATACCAAATTTTAGCTAAAAATTCAATCGAGAAGGCAGTCAAATGGTTTTCTGAAGTATACTGCACTGCCTAACTGCGCAGTTATCTTCAAAAATTCATTTGACTGTCTTCCCGGTTGAATTTTTAGATGAAAATTGGTATGAGTAAACTAGACTTAATGAAGAAGATGCTAAACAAATTTCAACAAAAAGATTCACCAGAAACCACCCCAAATGACGACGTCCGTACAGAGCCTCTTATAAAAGGGCTTATTTGCACTTTTTATGAATGTTCGAGAGCTTATTTGGTAGTTCTCCCACTATATTATCATCCCTAATCAAACAAATTAAGTTTGAGTGAAGGAGTAAAAATAAATGAGACTATCATAACCTCTATACATGGTGTTATGTAGTGCGCCTGATTTCCTTGGATTCTCCATATTGGAGTATTGGACTATCAAACTTGACATTACTAAATCATTTTCAAATCTTGTGTTTTGTCTTGTGTTAACTTTATCCCGGCACTAGAAGTGTTTTTGCATGGAAGTCACCCCATAATCCCCTCGTGTTTAATTTGAACACAAACTTATACCGTTTATTTCAGGTCACATACAGGAGTAATTTAATAGTCCGTTATTGAACTATTATGAAGAAGAAAGGAGATTAGTTGATTCTCCAAATCCCTCCTCCTTTCCTATTCATGGTGTATATATAAGAATGAGATTAGAAGGCTAAACTATCAAAAGCTTAATTTAATTTCTAAAGCCAATTTATTAAGATGAACTTCGTTTTGAGGCTTTCATGGCTGCTATTACTCATATCTACCTTCTGTGATGCTAGTCAGATCAAATACCTTCACAAGCTCATAGAGTCTCAAAGATTAAGAAATCTTGATCTCCAACAAGATCAGGTTTGGTCTGATGAAGAAGATGTTGCCAAAATTATCCATCCAGTGTATATTGGACCTCAAGAAGGGCTTATGAAAGCTGACAGGATTGATTCATTGCCAATGCAGCCTCCAGTTAAGTTTAATCAATATGCAGGTTACGTGACCGTTGACCCGAACGCAGGAAGAGCTTTGTTTTACTATTTTGTTGAATCCCCGGAGGATTCTTCAACCAAACCTCTACTCTTATGGCTCAATGGAGGTAATAAGATTTATGACACTTAACAATCACACACCGGTAACATATAAAGTCTTTCATCTACTTTTTATCTGATCTCCGATTGACTTTTTAAGATGAAACTTGAAGCACCTATAGCGTATTTAATATGATATCAAAGTATTTAAGTTAAACTCGCGCGTGATGGAACCCAAGCTTAGCTTAATAAAGAACATAACCACACAAAAAAATAATGAATATAATTAATGATATAAATGTGTTGGCCAGCTATCTATAATATAAATCTAACTGCTGATTTAATTGTTTACAAAAATACGACTGATAGTTTATAACATAGTATCTATAGTCACTTAATTGCAAAAGTTGAACATAATTTACTATGACTAATTACTACTATAGCCATTATATATAAAAGGTCACATTTTTGTAAATAGTCTTCATTTATTCATAAATATATAATTATTTCTAGGGCAATTCTAAACAATAACATTAGTTTTTTTAAATAAAGACACAATTTGAATCATAATTGAATAATCCTTGCAACTTTTCTGATTTGGACTTAGAATTCTAGTTATTTTCCATACTATAGACGGTTGTAATTTCAGTTTCGAACTAGAATCATGTCCAACATTGTCATGTCACAAAATTTGGTGGTATTTGTTTGAAATATAATACTATCATATCAAAACAAGAAGTGCAATTCAAGCGTACAATTTCATTCTTCCACACAACTCTATTTATTTAATAATCCAATTTGCTCGAACTTTTATCATAATACATTCTGAAAAATCAGGGGAGTCTCACACTAATTTACCACAAAATTGACACATTTCTTTGTCAAAACCGCTTTTGTCACACTAATTCATTCAAGATTAGTTTTTGTGCAACAGTCAAAACAACTAATTGCAATTGATATGAACTTTTTTCATGTTAAGAGTCTTCAATCTATTAAGTTAATCTGACATAATAAAAGCTCCATCGTATCTTTCACCTCTAATTTTGGACAACGATAATCTATACTTGGAAAAAAATCATCAATGCAACTTTTTAGACAAAGTTATTGGCCGTGTCATCATATCTAACTAACTATAAGGAATCACTCCATCATAACTCTGTAATTGTTTACATATCGAATCTGATATCTCACAACCTTTATCAAATGATCTTTGATGTAATTTTCCCTTTCCCTAATATTTTTCGGATAGGGAGCACTTACCTTATCAAGTACGAATACTCCCTTTGTCCATTTAAATTTTGTCAACTTTCCTTTTTTGGATGTCGTAATAACTTTGCCATTTTCCCTTTTAAATAAAGAATTTATGATTCCAATTAATTCTTTCTCTCATCTGCACAAACATCAATCACACAATTTTTACTTTATTAATACTCAAAGTGATATTAAAAGATGGAAGGAATATTAAATTTTGAAGTCGAAAGCAAGGGCGCACACTAATTTTATTATAAGAACTAATACTCTACTAAATTTAAGGGTCGGAGTAGGGGTACTGGGGCACTTACTCCTAAACCCGCCTAGTTTCTCCATTGTTGTCCTACTACCTTTCTAGCTAAATGTATCTCCATTCATGCTCCTCAATTTTACGGTTTTTTAGGTCTTGTTATTGCCATGTCACTTCCATATGAGAAAATCTTAAATAATATCCAAACAATTAATTTCTCCTCAACCATGATTTCAATTTACCTAGATTTTTTAATTCCCAATACTTGCTTTTTGGAAGTGATGGATTGATCACTAAACCTAAGTTTAGTGGTTGTGACTTTTCATATTTCATGTTTTTGGAGAGGAACCTAAAAGTTTAAGAATTATCTTCAATAATCCCAGATTTAAAATTTTATACCAGATGTTTTGATCAAATAATCTTTTCAAATAATCCTAACGTCTCAACCATGATCTCAAATGATATATCATCCACATCATCAAAATAATTCTCAAATAAAGATGATGCCCAAACAGCTACGGATAATAATGGTTTTCACAGGGCCAGGATGCTCATCTTTGGGGTATGGCGCCATGGAGGAAATTGGACCTTTCAGAGTTAATAGTGATGGAAAATCACTATCCGCGAATGAATATGCCTGGAATAAAGGTACTGGCTAATTAATACTTCGTATATATAGCCGCATTGAACAAAATTTGGAGCAATAATCAATTTTGGTATATTGCTTTTTTAAAAAAAATCCTCAAATATTACTCTCTGAATCTCATATAAAAGTTTTCATTTCTATTTTAGAAAAATAATTAATAATCTTCAATGAAAAACAAATCATTAAATACTATAAAAAATACATTTATGATATCATTTTTATAAACACTAACCCTAATATATATATATATATATATATATATATATATATATATATATATATATATATATATATATATTATACCTATTAAAATTATTTCATAAAATATACTTGAACTATCTTATTTAACAATTGTCCGAATAACCGTGTAATTATTAGAAGAAAATTAAATATTACTTAGTAACTATTAATGACTATAATTGTGTTCAAGTTTATGTCGTAACTAGTAACTTATATGTAAATACTATGGTGTAAATTTGAGCACAATTAGTCACTAATAGTTACTAAATAATATTTTGTCCACTACATTTTAAAGAGTAATATAAATGAAATTGTTTCTTTCAAAAACTAAGTGCCAATTCAACTATTCGAGAAATCTTGGTGGGTGAAAAAACGCAGTATTTATATCTGACTTCAATTCGTATAATTTTATTAAATTTTATTAATATTATTTTAACTCTTTAGAATGTTTTTATTCGGATTGTTTTCAATCTCAAATCAGACCAGACCATACTAGATTAGATTTGAACTATTATAAAATACACAAAGACCAAACATCTACCAGACTAGACCAGACCAATTCAGACTAGATCAGACCAATTGAAACTAGATCAGAGCAGACTAGATCAGACCAGATTTGACAAAAAATTCCAATTCAATTAAAAATGTACATCCTTATTATATTTGTGGATCACATAAATATATATTTATATTTTTTACATTTAAGGTTAATCAAATATAATACTATACTAGTCCATAATTAATAGTAATTCTAGTCACATTTTTATCAATTAACTTCGTTTCACTAAATTCCATAAAAACACATTAAACATTGTCAACATTCCTTATTTAGTTATCTTAATAACTTTTTGTTATGTACTCCCTCCATCGGTTATAACTTGCATGGCCAAGTTTGACTGACACGAATATTAATAAAGTAAAAACTATATGATAGAGGTTTATGCAGAAGAGAACGAATTAACTGAAATTACAATTTTTTTACTTAAAAGAGAAAGTAGCAAAGTTAGTGGAAACAGCTAAAAAAGAAAAATTGACAAAGTTATAAGTGACGGGAGGGGGGGGGGGGGGGGGGGGGGGGATAGTTTAAATTAGGGAAAAGGTACAAATATATTTCTATAATAATGTGGGTGTGAGAACAAATATATCCATGTTCTAGTTTTTGGAACAAATATACCTCTAAAGTTTATGTAGCAGTGCATACTTACCCTAGAACTTTTAGAGGTAAGAAAATACCTCTCATGTTCTTATAAAAGAACAAATTTACCCTTATTGACTTTAAAGATATAAAATAAATTTTAAAAAATACCAATAATAAAC